AAAAGAAAGGGGGAGGGTGGAAGGGGGGAAGGAAGAAGGAAAAAAGAAAGAAGGAAAGAAAAGGGAGAAACCAAGAAGCAGGAGACTTAGGCAACACAGAAGTTTGTTGGGTCAGGTGCTGCAGTTAATTTTCTCTGGGAGAAGAAGGCAAGGAGATGCTACATAGTTCCTCATGATAATATATTTCTTTCATATTATTCTCAAGGAAGGACTAAGAAGTTAATCACTGAAATTATCAAGAAATTCACCCCATTCTAAACTATTAGGCAGCATATGGTATGAATCCAAACAGATATGTTGGATCACTGATGCAAACAAGATTATTTTTAAATCAATATTAAAACATCTATTTCATGCTTCCTTACACATCTCACATCATAATATTTTTAAAAATGTCTTCCTGGGACGCCTGGGTAGCTCAGCGGTTGAGCGTCTGCCTTTGGCTCAGGATGTGATCCTGGAGTCGCAGGATTGAGTCCCGCATTGGACTCTCTGCATGGAGCCTGCTTCTCCCTCTGCCTGTGTCTCTGCCTCTCTCTCTCTCTCTCTCTCTTTCTCTCTCTCTCGTCTCTCATGAATAAATAAATAAAATCTTTTAAAAAATCGCTTCTCAGCCTTTTGGCTAAGATCAAGTGTAAAATGTCTTCCTTTGGACTACTTCAAAATTTAAAACTCTTGTACATCAAAGGCAACCTACTGAATAGGAGAAAATACTGCAAATCATGTATTCATAAGAGGTTAATATTTAGAGGCTCCTGCCTGGCTCAGTCGGTGGAGCATACAACTCTTGAGCTTAGGGCTGTGAGTTTGAGCCCCATGTTGGGTGTAGAGATTATTTTTAAAAATCTCTAGGGGTGCCTAGGTGGCTCAGCTGAAACATTTGCCTTCAGCTCAGGTCATGATCTCAGTGTCCTGGGATGGAGCCCTGCATCCACCTTCCTGCTCAGCCAGGAGCCTGCTTCTCCCTCTCCCTATGCTCCTCCCCTGCTTGTGCTCTCTCAAACAAATAAATCTTTAAAAATATATGTATAAATATAAAATCTTTTAATAATCTTTTTCTTTTAAAATTTTTTAAAAGAGGTTAATATCTAGAATATATAAAGAACTCCTACAACTCAACAACAGCAAAACAACCTGATTAAAAAATGGGCAAAGGACTTCAACAGACATCCTACAACGAAGAAATACAAATGGGCAATAAGCAGGTGAAAAAAATGCTCAGCATCATTAGTCACTGGAGAAATGCCAATTAAAACCACAATGAGGGATGCCTGGGTGGCTCACCGATGAGCAACTGCCTTTGGTCCAGGGCGTGATCCTGGAGTCCCGGGATGGAGTCCCACCTCAGGCTCCCTGCATGGAGCCTGCTTCTCTCTCTGCCTGTGTCTCTGCCTCTCTCTCTCGGTGTCTCTCATAAATAAATAAATAAAATCTTTTTTAAAAAACCACAATGAGATATCACTTACATCAATTAGGATGGCTATTATAAAAACAAAATCAAGTAAGCAAACAATAAATAACAAGTATTGCTAAGGATTGAAGAAATTGGAACACTTGTGCATGGTTGGCGGAAATGTAAAATGGTGTAGTCATTATAGGAAACAGTATGGAGCTTCCTTGAAAAGTTAAAAATAGGGCAGCCCCGGTGTCACAGCGGTTTAGCGCTGCCTGCAGCCCAGGGCGTGATCCTGGAGACCCTGGATCAAGTCCCACGTCAGGCTCTCTGTGTGATGCCTGCTTCTCCCTCTGCCTGTGTCTCTGCCTCTCTCTCTGTCTCTATGAATAAATAAATAAAATATTAAAAAAAGTTAAAAATAAAATACCATATGAGCCACTAATTCTAAGTGTATACCCAAAAGAATTGAAAGCAGGAACTCAAATAGATATTTGTACAGCCATATTCAGAGCAGCACTATTCACAAGAGCCAAAAGGTGGAAGTAACTCAAGAACCTATTGATAAGATGAATAAACAAAATGTGGTACATACATACAATGGAATATTATTAGTCTTAAATAGAAAGAAAATTCTGACAAATGCTACAACATGGAATAACCTTGAAGACATAAGTGAAAGAAGCTGGTCAGAAAGGACAAATATGGTATAAGTCCACTTCTATGAGGTGCCTAGAGTAGTCAAATCCACAGAAACAGAATGTTGAAGGAAGGAGGAAGGAAGGCATAAGGAGTTTAGATTTAACGGGTACTTTTGGAAGATAAAAATGTTCCGGAGCTGAATGGTGCTGATGGTTGCACAACAGTGTGAATGCACTTAATGCCACTGAACTGCACATTGAAAAATGGTTAAAATGGTAAAATTTGGGGATCCCTGGGTGGCGCAGCGGTTTGGCGCCTGCCTTTGGCCCAGGGCGCAATCCTGGAGACCCGGGATTGAATCCCACGTCGGGCTCCCGGTGCATGGAGCCTGCTTCTCCCTCTGCCTGTGTCTCTGCCTCTCTCTCTCTCTCTGTGACTATCATAAATAAATAATTTTTTTAAAAAAAGGTAAAATTTGTGATATGTATATTTACCACAGTTTATAAAAAGTAATTTGTGGGAGGCACCTGGGTGGCTCTGTTGGTTGAGCAACCCACTCTGATCTCAGCTTAGGTTATGATCTCAGGGATGTGAGGTGGAGCCCATGTCGGCCTCAGGTGGAATGTGCTTCATACTCTCTCTCTCCCTCTGCCTCTGCCCACCTCACCCCTCCATGGCTTGTGCTCACTCTCTCTCTCTCTCTCAAAATAAAGAAATAAATCTTAAAATAAAATAAAATGTAACTTGCAGTAAGACATTACCTCTTTCTGATGTGGCATAGCACATCCGTGTGTCCATTTTCCTTGGGGAATAGTGTTTCTGACAGAAAACTTGGTCTCTGTAAAATCTCTCAATGATTATGACTTTTCAATGAACTTTTTCATTGTAATTAGTGCAGAATGTCACAAGATGTCACTCTTTAGCTGAAAAACTATTCCAATTCAGTTTGGTAGCTGATAACAGTAAGTAAAACCAGAGCAACAAGACAAAACCCTTAACTCTCCTCATCAGTGCTTTACTAGTACCAATACAGTTTTCTGGGAAAGAGAATGTTTCCATCTTTGAAGTACATAATAAGCTACTCTTGTTTATGAAACTTATATTACTAGTTGTTAACTTCATATATACTAATTGCTTTTCGTTATAGATCAGATTGATGTAACAAAAACAATTAACTTTGAAAGTGACAGTAGTGTAATATAAAGCTGAAATGTAAAGATTATTGATCACTGAAAGGTGGCATGTGGCTTTATCACTAAATGATGTGTGACCTTGGAAATCATTTATTCTTTCTGATCTCACCAGAGGAGTAAAAAATATCCTTCCTTAGGTCAATATACCCTACTATAGATTTAATATATGCTAATATATATTTAAATACATTCTTCTAATTCTGAAATATTTTTTTAAAGATTTATTTATTTATGACAGACACAGAGAGAGAGAGAGGCAGAGACACAGGAGGAGGGAGAAGCAGGCTCCATGCTGGGAGCCTGACGCGGGACTCGATCCTGGGACTCCAGGATCGCACCCTGGGCCAAAGGCAGACACTAAACCGCTGAGCCACTCAGGGATCCCCAATATTTTGATTTTTATAGTAGTAATCAAATTATACTGTTAAATACGATATCTAAAGTGAGGTCAGTAATAGAAAATATAGTCTGCAACAAAACATTAGAAAATATAATGAGACTTCTTGACATCTTGGGTAATTATTTTAAGAAAATACATATATAAAACAATTGTAACAGTATAACAACTCCTGAAACAAACAAAAAAAAAAAACCCTCACATTTGTTACTGAGAACATTTTTTTAAAAGATGATGGAATATTTTAAGCTTTGCTTAAATATAAAATTTTCGAGATTCAAGAACACAATGTCTTAAGGATCACAACATTTAATTGGTAATTTTACCTTGTAACTATAATCCAATAAATGATTTTTTAAACTTCTAATCTTTGCAAACAGTTTATACTTGACTTATAATACCTAAAAATAACCAAAAGCCCAAAGGCCCACCTCTGGGTGAACTGCAGGACACTATGCTATATTAGCAAACCAGGATATATTTTTATTAGTAGAAAGTAGTTATTAAAATTAGGATTCTATTATTAGGATAAGAAAGACCTGGGTGAAAATACAGAACTCAGAATGATATGAAGAAGAGAGTGTAGTGTTTGGTTTAGAATATTGACAGTTGTTTTGTTTCTAACATGAAATTTTTGTTTAACTCTTAAATTTCGGGTCTTTCTCTTTAACTTCATATTCGGATGATTAAATATGTAAAGGGAAAGAAAAGAATGACTCGTTAAAATTTCGTGATTATTTTAAACATTGAAAGCTAAATCCAAGACTTATATTTCATGTCACAGTGTCACTTGCATTTTACACTTGGGGTTGCGTGTGCGTGGTAGTGGTGGTGGTGGGAAATCTCTCAGCGTGAGGGAAGTCCCGGAGGGCGTGGCCCTCCCCTCGCGTCCCATTCATAACCCGTTCATTCACCCGGAACCCGCTAAAGCGGACTAATCTCCGGTGTGGTCGCTCCCTCTGCCCTAAGAGGGCTCCACCACCTCCCCTAGGACTCGGTAAGTTCAAAGTGCAGTAAAAATGTGTGTTTCCCAAGAATAATTTGAAACGATTTTGTAGATAGTTTATTGGAGGGTGAAGAAAGGAGGGGTGGAGGTGGCAATTTTCAGGCATCGCTTTGTTTTTGTCTTCGCATTGGTTTTCGAAAAGATATAAAACGATTCCTTAGACGGCGGTTTTCTCAGAGGGTCTCAGGCTGCTGCCGCCCGCTGCAAACCAGCGTCTAGACCGCACGGGAAGGGGAAGTCGTCGATGCGTTTGCAGCAGCAGTCTCTGCGTCTGTCCCCAGGTCCCAGGGATGCTGCACTCCCGGCCCTGCCGCCTCTGAAGCGCCCGGGCGTCCCGGAAAACCGGAGCTGAGCGCAGACCCGCGGACCATGAGGCCTCTGAGGCTGGGAGCGTCGCTCTCGCTGTTGCTGCTGCAGCTGCTGCTGCTGGCTGGCTGCCTCGCCGTGGCCGCCCGGAGAGACAAGGGGTTGGCGGGCCGTGTGGCCGAGCCTGCCCCGGGGCCGGCGGGCCGCTCGTCCGGCCGCTTCGTCAGCCCCGCGCGGCACGCGTGCAGCTGGCAGCTCCTGCTGCGCGCCCCGGGGCCCGCGGCGGGGAGCGAGCTGGCGCTGCGCTGCCGGGACCCCGCCGGCGCGCGCCAGCAGTGCGCCTACCGCGGCGAGCCGGGGCGCTGCGCCGCCTACGCCGCCCGCGGCTCGCACTACTGGAAGCAGGTGCTGGGCGGGCTGCGCAGGAAGCGGCGTCCGTGCGGCGACCCGGCTCCGCTCAAGGCTCGCCTGTGCGCAGGCAAGGAGGGCCACGGCGCCGAGCTGCGCCTGGTGCCCCGCGCGTCCTCGCCGGCGCGCCCCACTGCGGCGGGCTTCCCCCGGGACCCCAAGCCCCGGGCCGGGAGCCGCGGGCCGCCCCGGGAGCCCGCCCCCGGCTCTGCCACAGCGGCCCGCCTTCCCGCGAGCACGTCTCCCAGGGGGAAGCCCTCTGAGAAGTCCAAAGCCGGCAAGAGGAAGGCGGCCGCCGACCCGGGAGTGGAGCGACCTCTGGGGACCCCGCCCGATCCCGACGGGTTGGACGAGAACGCGAAGCTCACGGAGACCTACTGCGCTGAGAAGTGGCACTCCCTTTGCAACTTCTTTGTCAATTTCTGGAATGGCTGAGGCTGCCAGCCTGGGGAGGAACGCGGCGGCGGGCAGGGGTACGCAGCCGGAAGAAGTTGAGCGCATCTTAGGCCAAGCTAAGGCTTGGAGAGTGGAGAGGAGTCCGGGTTCTAGAATGTGGCTGGGGGGTGGGAGGGCGTGGGCCTTGGGATGGGAGTGTAAGGGCTATGGAGAATCTCTGAGATGGCAGAGACGTTCACATTTTTGAAAAGTCCGACCCCGATTAAGAGCAGGAGAAATAGTGAAAAGAGAAAGAAGTAGCCATACCTTAAATGTGCAACAACTGTAGATTGGGAGAGAGATGAGTACAGAAGAAGGCTGGGGAAAGGGAGGGGGGTGACGAAAGCGATGTAAATCTCCTGTGCGAAGCAGGATACGGCGGCGGCGGCGGCGTGTATGTTTCACACATTTATACTGAAATGTAACCACAAGCAGTTGATAACCTCAGCCGGGTTGAATAGTTTAGTGACTCCTCACCCAATCAGCTGGCAAGATTCCCAACTTTTTTTCTTTTCCTTTTGGAATCAGTAGGAACTTGAGTACTGCTTGGTGTCGTAGATGACCTCTATTGGGGTAGAAGCCATTCAGAGGTCAAAATTGCCTCCAATGAGTAGATTTTCAGGATGGTTGCCCTTGAATTCTTTTAGAAGTGTTACATTTAAACAGAGGGATGCCTTATGTTCTGAAACTTTCCCATTAACCTTTTAAATTCAGAGGTGAATTGTAATGCTCCGGTAGGTTTTTAAAAAAAGAATTTTCTTTATATGTGATCATATTTTTTAAAAACAGCTGAAATTAAGTATGTATCTCAGAGTCATGTGGACCATTATGGAAGTTATATCTGTTTCATGTAATTAATTAACATTTCATTTTAAGTAAGATGTAATGATGATTTTGCACATGTTAAGTGCTCAATAAAAACTGCATGAATAGATTTAAAGAATTGGCAGGGCAATAGAAATTCTGACTGCATTTGATATAGTTCTGAGTATACCTTGAAGTAAATTCCCAAACACCTCTTGAATTGTTAGGAAAAGACAAGAAGTCTGCATAAAGTCAGAGTGACAGACTGGTAAACCTGGGTTGTATCGTTGCTCTGCTTGGCCTGCATGTGGTTCTCTTTCATTTTTCCTATCTTCTTCTTCCCTCCCAATTTGGATTTGTTGCCAGCATTTAAAAATTAAACAATTTCACATAAAAATTCAGATATCTGAATTTCCTTGAAAAATTAGATCTGTAAACATTTGGACCTACCTTCCTATATGGCAACAACCATCAGCTGACATGGAATATTGGCTGCCCCCTTTAGATTAGGTGTGTTTTCTAGAGTTCTCCACTGCTCCTACAAATCTCACAAATAAACTTTATTCATTTACATTACAGGTCTGAGCCCATAAGACTTTTAAGCCACTGATAGATATAAGACTTACCTTTTTGCTGACCATCTGTGCTTCTCAGCTTGTCACAATTATGGTAAATGCAACAATCTTACATCTCTTGATGTAAGGATCTCCTGAACTCTTTCTTCTTTGACCAGCCTCTAGGAAATGTTATTTCTTTACTACTCTGTACATTCTTTTAAAAAAGATTTTATTTATTTGACACAGGGAGAGAAAAAGCATTAGCACAAGCAGGGGGAGTGGCAGAAGGAGAGGGAGAAGCAGACTCCCCAGTGATGGGGCTCCATCCCAGGACCCCAGGATCATGACCTGAGCCGAAGGCAGATCCTTACTTGACTGAGCCCCCCAGGCACCCCTATTCTGTACATTCTTATCTTCATACAATTGGCAAAAGATCCAGATTGCACATAGTTCCAGGCCAGGTTTACGAGCTCACATTCTGAGTAACATTGACCATTAGATAAAATTCATCTTGGTCACGTAAAGGAAGTTCGGGGTAGCTAGAGACCAAGCCCTTAAGATAGGGACTAAAGTACACTTTCTCTAAAAAGCTTGGCAAAATTTGGGTGTCATCAGAGAAGGGTATTAGAAGTGAAACACCACCATCTAGAATCATAGTTTTACCTCTACATACAAGACAAATGCAAATCCTTCTTGTGTGCCTTTTGACCATCTACTGAGCTTACCTCTATGAAGGAAGGGAAGGCCAAACTCTAGGCCCAAGTACATAGTGCAGACTACTACTGCTTCTGCTCCTTTACTCTTTAAGAAGAACTATATTAGGACTTCTCAAGAACAGAGTATGAACTGTGATATGATAGAGACCAATTGCTTGCAGTGAGTAGGAAATGGAGAGAACCTGCCATCAGCTTCTGGAGTGATTTTGACTAAGTCCTAATGTCTCCAATATGTATATTGAGGGGAACTAGGCTAGGTTAAATCTGAAGTCCATATGGCATACTACTAACTCCAGGATCCTATACATAGTTTTGTGTAATGAATAGCATAGTGATAATAGCATGTGAAAATCAGCAAGTAGTCTGTATAGAGTACCACAAGAAAGATTATGGAGTTGGAAAAGCTCCGGAGAAAGACAAGCAAAATAGTGAGGGAAATAGAGAAGGCTTCTGTATATGAGCATCTAGAAAGATTTGGAAGTTTGGGCCAGATGGACAAATCTGCAGGTGGGAGAAGACAGGATCAAAATGTCTAAAATACTGAGGAGGAGGATGGACAGGGAGAACTTGGGTATTCTCTCCCTGCAGGTACCATCAAGAGTGAAGGGAGGAGCACCTGGCTGACTCAGCTGGTAGAGTACATGGATCTTGATCTCAGGATCTTGAGTTAGGGTCCCATATGGGGTGGAGAGATTACTTAAAAATAAAATCTTAAAAAAAAAGTGAAAGGAAAGTTGCCAGGGCACATCCAAGTTTACTGTCAGAGCTGGGATCAGCATCAGCATGGGCAGGCTTCATGCAGGGAGCCCGATGCAGGACTCGATCCCAGGACTCCAGGATCACAACCTGAGCTGAAAGCAGGCGCTCAACTGCTGAGTCACAGGCGCGCCCCTTTTCTCCTTTTTAAAATTGCATTTATTTATTTGAGAGGCAGAGAGAGCATGAGCAGAGGGAGGGGGAGAGGGAGAGGGAAACAGTAGACTCCCTGCTGAGGGGCGAGCCTGACAAGGGGGTGGGGGACGTGGGAGTGGGGGCTCCATCCCAGAACCCTTAGGATCATGACCCGAGTCAAAATTAGGTTCTTGGGCAGCCCGGATGGCTCAGCGGTTTAGCACCATCTTCAGCCCAGGGCGTGATCCTGGAGACCCGGGGTCAAGTGCCGCATCGGGCTCCCTGCATGGAGCCCGTTTCTCCCTCTGCCTGTGTCTCTGCCTCTTTCTTTCTCTGTGTGTCTCTCATGAATAAATACATAAAATCTTAAAAAAAAAAATCAGGTGCTTAACCAACTGAGACACCCAGTGGCCCTTTTTTTTTTCTATTTTTTCTTAAGATTTTATTTATTTATTTTAGACATAGAGAATGAACAAGTGGAAGGAGAAGCAGAGGGAGACAGACTGTACTGAGCCCAGTGTGGAGCTTGATCCCATGACCCCAAGGTCATGACCTGAGCTGAAATCAAGCGTCTTACACTTAACTGACTGGGCCACCCAGGTGCCTCTCCTTTTTTTTTTTTTTAAAAGATTTTATTTATTTATTCATGAGAGACACAGAGAGAGAGAGAGAGAGAGAGAGAGAGAGAGAGAGAGAGGCAGAGACACAGACAGAGGGAGAGCAGGCCCCATGCAGGGAGCCCGATGTGGGACCCCATGTGGGACCCGATCCCGGGTCTCCAGGATCATGCCCCGGGCTGAAGGCAGGTGCTAAACCGCTGAGCCATCAGGGGATCCCCCAGGTGCCTCTCCTAGTTTGCTTTTCTGAACTCATCTCCACTAGGCAAAATCTTTTGTTTTTTTATTTCATCATCATCATCATCATTATTATTATATTATTATTTAATCTTAAATTGGCTCCACACCCAATGTGGGGCTTGAACTCGGGACCCTGAGATTAAGAGTCACATGCTCTATTGGTGCCCCTAGGCAAAATCTTTTCAACCATCAAAGTCCTTTAGTTTCTCTCAGTTTGCCCTGACATACCACCACCATTTTAATCCTTCTATGCTTTTCCCTCTATGCTCTCCCTCTCTCTCAAATAAATTTTAAAAATCTAAAAAAAAAAAAAAGAATACTAGTTCTGTCCACATCTTACTCCAAATTACTTTGAAAAGGTTGCTTAATCTCTTCATATTTCTTTCTCTTCTCTTGTTGAAGGGTTACCTACTTCCAGGGTTACCATGAAGAATAAATTATATGACATACTGGATACTGCCCAGCACCACACAGTACTTGCCATGTAATAGATACCCAATAAATATTACATCTTCTTCCTATACACAATTAATTTAAAATAGATTTAATTAAACAATAAACAAATTATTGTTGATACTGTGCCAGAGGCCCTGGCCTTTGGTGTTGAGGAAGCAGGTGGGGATACACTGACAGAGTACCAGCCTTCAACAAGCTGGAATTTAGGAAACCCTTAGAAAAACAATGAGAACAACAACCAAAGAAATTAGGTTTCTACATGTAAGAGATTAGGAAGATGAAAGGTGAGCATAGAGGTCTGGTTACTTGGGAATCTACCTAGAAGATATTAGCTTGAGATATACCTTGGTGTAACTCAAAAAAACAGGTGTGGGAAATGAGTGAAAACCTAAATGAAAGTGTGAAAAGAAATGATGTAAATCTAAAATTCTTGGGCCAAGTCCCAGCTCTGCCTCTAGATCTAAATCTGGGCAAGTCATTAAAATGCTTATGCCTCAATATGGCATAGGAGGAAAATGTATATACTATGTTGCAGAAGTTTCCAGAAAACTCAGAGAACATTGGTGGGAGTGTAAATTGGTATAATCTTAATGGAAGATAAGTTGGCAGTTTATTTTATAAAAATTTAAAATATCCATATCGTTTAACCTAGAGTTCTATATTTTTACCCTAAAGACTTATTAGTACAAAGACATATAGAAATATAAAATTATTAATAG